AGCCGGCCCACGTGTCCTGATACAGCGCTTCCCACACCGTCGGCCCTGAGCTCTGCCGACTACCCCCAGAGGCTCTCTGCAGCCACAGCCACGTCCATCTAAGTTGCTGAGGAAATTGGCAGCCCACGGACCAAATCTTTTGCCCAGATGAGTTTGGTTTCATCCACAAAATGTTTAAAGAAAAAAATTTGAATGCCATGCTTTGAGGTGGGACAGGCCCGCTCCAATTCACTGCAGTTCCCTCCGCACCCACCTGTTTCACATCTGCCTCAGCTGAGCGACCTGCCCGACTCCCCCGAGCAATTAAACATCACCCTCTGAATTAAGAGGAACTGTGGGGGCCAGAAATTTTGAAGACACAGAACAAAACAGATGACATGCTAGTGTCAGTTTCAGTGCGGCCTCTTTACTTCTTTTGCCTCCACGGTCACCATTAGTTAATGACTAAAAGAGTGAAGACAACGCACAGATAACTGGGCAGCTGAGTTCCTTCAGCAGGTGGACGTCAAGTGCCCAGTGAATGCACTTGTAACGCCAGCCTGACCCGCAGCTCTACCTAGGGGTCCTGTTTCAAGAATTTCTGCAAAGGGACTTCCCTAGCGGTCCAGTGGTTAGGACTCCGTGCTTTCATTGCCGAGGGCGTGGGTTCGATCCCTGGTCAGGGAACTAAGATCCTGCAAGCTGTGCAACGCTGCCAAAAAAAAAAAAAAAAAAAAGAATTGCTGCAGAGAGATGTTTCCTTTATTTCAGATTGAAGCGAAAGGGACGCTGAATGGGGAGAAGGTGGAACACCAGAGGACCACGTTTGTCAAACAGTTAAAACTAGGGAAGGTGAGCCCATGCCGCATGCTTGGCCGGCTCTGCTCCCGAGGGCCCCCCGGGTCCCGCTCCCGACCCGCGGCTCTTTCCGTCTCTCCCACCCGCAGCTCCCCCAGTGTCTGTGCATCCACCTCCAGCGGCTGAGCTGGTCCAGCCACGGCACACCCCTGAAGCGGCACGAGCACGTGCAGTTCAACGAGTTCCTGATGATGGACATCTACAAGTATCACCTCCTCGGACACAAACCCGTTCACCGCAGCCCCGAGCTGCACGAGAAGGCAGGACCTGCACTGGAGCTGCAGGACGGGCCGGCAGCCCCCAAGCCAGGTGCCTGCCCGAGGGGCCAACGCAGCTGGAATTGGCGGGTTCCTTGTGCCACAAGGGCCAGGCTCACCCGACGGCTGCTTAAATTCTTGAGAACAGCAGGATTGGGGGTGGGAGAGGAAAGGTTTTGTAAAAGAGGTTTAACTGGAACAGTCACGAGATGTCTAGTTTTTAAAAACCCTCTGACAAATGAAAAACTGTAGGCAGAAAAGCAAAATGTTGCTTTCTGGTCTTCTGACTAAACAATAATTGGCTCAACTCATTCCAGTGAATTTCTTCTCTTTTCTTCTCCCCAGTACAGTCACCTCGTTTAGACAGGAACTGTGGGGAGGAATGTCCTGGCTGAAGATCCCTGAACATCTTATTTGGGTTGATACTTCTTTGCTGAATTGCTTTTTGTCTGATCCCATTACCATCCTCCCTTGAAGCTAATTATTGATCGGGTCCCAGTGAAGCCAGGTAGCTATTATCACTCTGTCTCACTGAAGAGAAAACCGAGGCTCCCAGAGGCTGATTGGTCCAGGGGCAAACAGCAGATGGGGGATCTGGTACTGGAATGAAGTGTCGGGACAGTGTTTTTTGTTTTTTTTTAAAATTTGTTTTTGGCTGTGTTGGGTCTTCGTTTCTGTGCGAGGGCTTTCTCTAGTTGTGGCGAGCGGGGGCCACTCTTCATTGCGGTGCGCGGGCCTCTCACTGTTGCGGCCTCTGTTGTTGTGGAGCACAGGCTCCAGACGCGCAGGCTCGGTAGTTGTGGCTCATGGGCCTAGTTGCTCTGCGGCATGTGGGATCTTCCCAGACCAGGGCTCGAACCCGTGTCTGCTGCATTGGCAGGCAGATTCTTAACCACTGCGCCGCCAGGGAAGCCCCGTTGGGACAGTTTTGTAAAGGTGTTGTATGTAATTTGTTCAGTTCTTTGTAAATGAGGAAAACTCACCGACTTTCAAGGCTCCAAGCCTGAACTCGCCACCCGTGTGCCAGGACTGTCTTCCCTGCACCCCAGACTTTCCCCACCTAACACCCCTTACTACCATTATTCTTTCCTACATCCATTTGTGTGGCCTGACAGGACATCATTCACAGGGAGACCGAGCTTTGTCCTTTCTCAGAAGGTCAATAGTTTAACATTGGGAGCAGCTGGGGTGGGAAGAGGGCCCAGTTTTAAATCCAGGACCTCCTTGCCCTGGCTTCCTCTTCTCCCTGGCAGGGGTGCAGGTCTTTAGCAAACAGGGCTGGGAATCTCAAAGACTCACAGAGTTGTCAAAGTGAGCAGGAGGCTAGGAGCTGGGTACATTTTTCCTATTTGGGGATTAAAACAGGCAGAGACAAAAAGGAAGTTTTATGAATCAGCATAGGACAAAATCACGTATCTGTTTTTCCTCTGTAGCCTTACTGGGGAGTTAAATTTCAAGCTAATCCAAACCATGTCTTGTTTACCCAAAGCTGCTGCTCACTTTCATTGCCTTCGGCCTTTTTCTCTTGCAGTTCGGAGTCACCCGGGGGGCCCCAAAACACAGATTTTCATGAACGGCGCCTGCTCCCCATCTTTCTTGCCCACGCTGCCAACCCCGATGCCCTTCCCCCTCCCAGCTGTTCCTGACTACAGGTGAGCCACTTTTTAGACGCATATGCCTCATTCACTGATGGCTTTAAAAATAAGAATTATAAAGTCCATAAAATGTAAATGTTATGTGTATGTGTGTATACATGTACATATGTATGAAAGTATGTACATAGAATATAAAGAAAGAAATTTTAAAAATTTTGGGGACACCACCTAAAGATAGATCACCAATTAAATCTTTGTCTTCCACTCTGTAAAACTGTGTGTGTGTGTGTGTGTGTGTGCGCGCACGCATATACTACACAACATACATACACTCACAGAATGGACAGTTTACCAGGCCAGTAAATACAGGTCTCTATTTCAGTGGTTGCATAGTATTCAGTTGTATAGCTGTACCATTGTGTCAGTCCCCTATTGTTGAACATCTAGTATTTTTTACTCTTTGCTTTTTTTTTTTTGCGGTACACGGGCTTCTCACTGTTGTGGCCTCTCCCGTTGCGGAGCACAGGCTCAGCGCCCATGGCTCACGGGCCCAGCCGCTCCACGGCATGTGGGATCTTCCCGGACCGGGGCACGAACCCGTGTCCCCTGCATTGGCAGGCGGACGCTCATCCACTGCGCCACCAGGGAAGCCCTCCTCTTTGCTTTGCCTCTAAACCTTCCTTGTTGTATTTGTAAACCACTGGCATTTGTTCCTACCGTTCAGCTCCTCCACGTACCTCTTCCAGCTGGTGGCAGTTGTTGTCCACCACGGAGACATGCACTCGGGACACTTCGTGACCTACCGACGGTCCCCGCCTTCGGCCAAGAACCCTCTCTCCACCAGCAACCAGTGGCTGTGGATTTCTGACGACACCGTCCGCAAGGCCAGCCTGCAGGAGGTGCTGTCCTCCAGCGCCTACCTGCTGTTTTACGAGCGTGTTCTTTCCAAGATGCAGCACCAGAGTCAGGAGTGCAAGTCTGAAGAATGACTCTGCCCTGGCCCCAAAGCTAGAGCTGATGGCTCCATCCAAGCTGTGTGCGTGTGCGTGTGCGTGTGTGCTGTGGTGTGTACGTGCAAGCAGCCCCACTAGAGTCCTGCAGCCTTCTGGTGTGTTCTAGGAGAAGGCTCCACACAGGAGCTGGTGGCCCCGATTCAAACGAGGTCAGGCTCCCCGCACAGCTCTGCCCGTGCGTACCAGGACAGCGGTGCCGGGCTAGGATAACAGTCATTGCGTCTAGAGCGTGTCTTGTCACTCACCTGATCCAGGTAATGAAAAGAAACCAGACTCCAGAAGCCACCTTTTTTAGATTGATACATTAGGTGTTCTCAGAGGGGAGTTAACTTTGTCTGATCCTCCAGCGTTTCAGCATAGATCTTTTATTTTTAATAAGCAGTCCCATAAAAATGGTTGAATTAGTGAAGTTACTAAAGGCAACAACTTCGAAGAAAAAGTGCCTTTCACTCTCAATTGCTTTCGTAGCGCGTCCCTTCTGGAAAACACACCTCATCTGCGAATCATATCAACAATTTTTGAAAAGCTCCGTACCTTCCAAAGTTACCGAATAGAGAGCAACAGAACAGTTAAAAGACGCCTGATGCGCACCCGCCTTCCCTTTTTATATGTCTTTTTCTAACCTTTCGATTCTTTATATGTAGTAAAAGCTCATGTGCCAAATCTGCCCCTCGGGGAAATTCTTTCTCTACTTTGTCAGTTACCAGTGACCAGCTTTCTCTTTGCTGTTATCTTTTGTATCCTGGACTCCCAAGTGTGATTATCGCATATTATATAACTGTGTGAACAGCCAGAACTCGGTGGCCTGTGTGCCACACCTAGGACTCCTCCGCTCTGTAGAAAACCCTTTCTCACACGAGGACCCCACGGTGGACAGCTATTCTCATCTATTTATTTATTGCCCATGAAGAGCTCCTGAGGTTTACAGGTGGAGCCGGGGGCTGTGTCAGAAAGACAATCCTGGCCTCCATTTGAGAGCTGGATTCTGAAAGAAGGGCACTGACCTTGGGGCTGCTGCCTCTCTGGACCTCAGTTTCCTCATCTGTAAAGTGAGGAGTTAGATTCCATGACCATCCAAGTCCAGCCCTTCCCACAAAAAAGAAGTTTAAAAAAACTTTTTGAACATAAAATTATGGCTGATATCTAGTACTGTCATTCTGTTCTAGGTCCATATTCTAAATGTATTCGTTTCCAGTAGCCTCATACAAAAGGCCTCTCTTGGGCATCCTCCCCTCTCTTCAGGTAAGTCTAATGAAGGCAGCCCAGGGCCGAAGGAATTTTGATGGCACAGGGGTATCTATGTTTTAGCTAGGCTCTTTTATTTAAAACAAAAAACAAATGCAGACTGACTCTTCAGAGATAAGATTTGGAATCAGACGTGTCCAAAAGGTCACCTGAGGTCAGGCTGAGGACTGTGCTTGCCCTGGTGGGGACCAGCTGGCAGACACTTCCAGACAAGGCCTTGGTGTCAGCTGAAAGCGCTAGAGGCCCAGGTGATCCCCATTCCCCCAGGCCCAGCGTGCATCCTGAGGACTCGGAACTCTCGCTATTGACAGAACGGACTGTGAAGTTCTCCAGGCCACACACCTCAGGGAGAAAGGAGCCGCACAAAGCTTCTGGTCTGTTCACGGCAGACGTCCCTTCCCGACTTCTTACAGACCCCGGCTTTGACGGTGAAAGGCACGTCCCCGTGGTACCCGCGGTCTGGGGGAAACAAATGCTCAATCACGTGACCTTAACCTGCCTGGCAAAGTTGTAGCTTGGAGCAACTGCTGCTCTGCCGCTGCTTACGCTTTGCAATCTGCCATTAAAGAGAGATGAACGGGGCTCATCCTTTTAGCGTTCAGTTGTAAGCAGATCTTTGGTCGGAGGGACTGAGCCACAGTTGTAAATGTGAATGATCTCCATGCAAAGTCTCTTCCCCTGACTTAAAGGTGACTTTCTCACTTTTTGTAAATCATTAGGCGTCACGCAGCAGCCAAACAAACACTCTTACTTCTAGCTTTAAGTTATTTACAAAGTCGCTTCTTTTTGCAAAAACTGAAGTTAAACTCGTAGTTTATGCCATAATAACTGCTGATTTATGTTTTTGCTAAAGGTACCTTTTGTATCTGCTGTGTATTATAGCAATAAAAGAACCATTTTGTTAGGAAAAAAACCAACTGGTCTTCTTTCATAATTCACCGACTCGATACAAACATCCTCTTTCTGAGTTCAGCATTGTATGTAAGAAGCCCTGCGCTTGGGTTCAACCTTTTCCATGTTCCCTGTTGGTAAAGGAAATGCCAGCTCCCTCTTGGAGTAGAGAAGGAAGGAACTAACAGAAGTACTAGCTGTTAAAAACGTTTTTACTTTGTAATAGGCAGGATTTTCCGAAATGTCAGGTTGACCCGGGGAGCCAGAACATTCTTTCGGACGGGGAGACTGTGGTACCAGTGAGTGTTGGTTGGGTGGTTCATCATAAGTAAGCTTCCGTGGGCCAGCTGGAGCCTGACCACCCCCAGCCTCCGGGAGGGGTGCTTCCCCCGGGAATCCTTATGCCGGAGGAAGAAGTCTCTGCAAGCCCCGAAGGAGACAGAGGCGATGGGGCTCCCAGGAGCCAGCTCTCTCTCGTCATCTCTGTGCTCACCAATGTGGTCAAGGCCGTCTTTGTACCTGCGGTGAGAAAACAAGCAGAGTTCACAGAACAGCCCTCTGTGGAAACACGCCCACACCTCGTTTGCCTGCAGGGAAACAGTGCCACGAGCACAGGTTTCTGCAGGGGCTGGAGGGCTGCATCTGGTCCACAGATGAGGCAAGCCTTTCACTTTATCAGCCCTCTTTGATCACACGCTTTAAAACCAATAAGGAATTCCCTGGCGGTCCAATGGTTAGGACTCTGCACTTCCACTGCAGGGGGCCCAGGTTTGATCCCTGGTCAGGAAACTAAGATCCCACAAGCCATCAAACAAACAAAGCACACCAACAGAGGCCAAACACGAGTCTTAGAGTTCTCCTGCAGGGTTCGTATGTGTAAACCTTCATCGCGTAAGATGGTTTCTCCCTACACTTAAAACCCGTATTCCTCGCACAGTCTGGCCCCCGCCGGCCTCTGAGCTCATCACTGCTTTCCAGCACCACCAGCGGGATTTCCACTCGAGACGCTCCAAGCTCCCTCTGCTCTCCTCCAGGTGCCTGTGTGGCTCCCGCTCTCTCTCGGTTTAGCTATCAGCTCGGACTCACCCCTCCGTGAACCCTCCTCCAACCATCTTCCCTTAAGCCCAGAGTTCTCAACCAGGGTGACTCTGCCCCCCCAGGGGGCACTAGGCGATGTCTGGAGACATTCTGGTTGCTCTGACCAAAGGGACCCTCGAAAAAAATGCACAGTCTAAAAGGAGGCAGCCTGTCAGCCAGCTCTGGGGGACTGCTCCGAAGAGGTAAGGGGGGAGCCGACAAAACACGGTCGTTAGAACATCAAAAGGTTACTGATCATTAAAAGAAAACCAGACATCTCGAGCTAATGAGTTTAGCGCCTTTCTGTGTAGGGGACAGTCTGGGCTCACTGAAGTCATTCCTTTGAGATGCACCTCAGCTCTCTGGGGCCAGTATCCTGTCCTCTCCCATCCTGAGTCCCCTCGGGGCACCCTGGCGGTGGCTGCGGGGCTGAGGGCTTGGCAAGGGTGTGTCTCCATCCTGAGTTCCCTCAGGGCTACAGTGGCTTGATGGCCCCACATCCTCTGTTGGATGATAAGGCAGGCAACGTTCTTCATTCACAGGGTGGTCCTGGCATCTGGTGGGTGGAGGCTAGGGATACTGCCTAACATCCTGCAGTGCACAGGTCAGCCCCAGAAAGAGGATTATCTGGCCCAAAGCATCAGGAGTGTTGCTGTTGAGAAACCCGGACTCCTTCCTCCCAGCCGTTCTTAGATCAGCCTGTTTAATTTTCTACGAGACACTTATCAACGTCTGAAGTTATCTTGTTCGCCTGTTCATCACTTTGCGGCCTCTCACTCCCGCCATGGTGAGAGCTCCATGAAGACTAATTGCTTATGTTCCACTACTACTCCCCTAACTACACTGAAGGGTTATTTGTTGTACAAATGAGTAAAGTACAGTGGAATTCTAAACTCTTCTTTTTGGAAGAGACAGGTTTATAAAATTCAGTCCACTGTCCTAAAAAGTAAAAGGTACAAACAGTTAGGGGGTCACCTGTTGACAAGCACGAAGTTGAAGTTCTGTCCAGTCACTACAGAAACGCGATCCCGGATGCGCTCTAGGACAGGGAGCCAGGGCTTTGGAGACAGAGTAAGGCCCGAAAAGGTGTAGGTCAGCCCAGTGTCACCGTATGTCGCCTGCTTCCTTGGGACATTGTGCCACTTCCCAAACACCTGGATCCTGGCCAGCGCACCTGTGCAGGGGAAACACAGCAGCGCCTCAGACAATCCACACTCACTCCCTGAGTATTCAGAAAAGGAAGTAAGACAGGAATAACATCTAATACCCCGACCAGGGACCCCCTCCTCAAAAATCATTGTGGCTCGTCCAAAACGTTCATGTAAGGACAGTGATTCTTGTCCGACACTTGGAGAAACACAGCCCTAGTCCAAGTTTTTCATAAAAACACCCTAACTTAATTGCTCACTAGAACCGTAATACAGAGGCTGAAATTGGAGCAAAATGAAGTCAGGTTACACGCTAGCACGGTGATTTTGCCAACTGTGGGGACAAAGGGCATCGATGGAAGATGGTGCTAATTCAGCTCAGGATGGAGGCTGGGTCTCCCGTGGGCATTTCTACGTCTCCCCATCCCTGTGCCCTGCCACATTGCAGCGGTTCTCAGTGTGTGGTCCCCGGATCAGTAGCACCCGGAAACTCCGGACACTAGACTGCAGGGGCAGGGCAAGCCATGGTGTTCTCACAAGCAACAAAGTCCTCCAGGTGATGCTGAGAACCTCGTGCATAGGAATTACCTGGTAATTTACCATCTCTCCGCTCTCAGCGGACAGGAGATCCCTGTTATTAAGTCTGTATCCCAAGCACCCAGCAAGTTGCTTGGCCCAGAGGTGCCCGGAATGTGTGTTCAGTCAATTAACAAACTCATCTGTAATTAATGGCTCCTGGGTTCAGATTTCCCTAAACACGGACCACTAGTTTTATCCAACAAGCCTTCCACACACACCCCACCGTCCCCTGCTTACCTGTAAAATATTCCACTTCTTTCTCCAACTCTTGGAAAATCTCATCTGCTTCGGCTTTGCCAAACAGGACTGTGTAATCGCAGTCCAGGCCCTCGGCTGCAATGTGCCTCCAGCTGAGGCCTGCCGAGTGGACTCCATTCCCCGGGGCTGCTCTCCTGGGCTTTTTCCTGCTGGTCCCCTCCTCTTCTGCCAACCCGGCTGGGCCTCCTCCGGTCTGCTCTTGCCCCCTCTTTCCCATAAGGCCCCTGACAGCCCCCTTCACCAGGAATCTGTCCATCTAGTCTCCACAAAGCAAACACCTGGTAGCCAGTGGCCAGGCCAAGAGAGAGAGATTGCCCAGGCTCTGTCCCAAATGCCAAAATCCACTCTGCAAAGTGGTCCCACAGTGGCATTCCTCCAGTTTTTAAGTTTCCATTTTAAAGTTTAACACCATGTCCTATAAAGGAAGTAAGAGGAGGTTAAAGCTGGAAGGATCCCTCCCACACCTAGGTAGGTATTAGAATCAGCCGCCTAGCTTGCAACACCCACGTGTGCCTGCCCTCCACCCGCAAATATCCGAATTTTTAAAGAAACACCCACCCCCCGGAATTCGCACGCCAATGGCAAACTTGGAAACTGCAACCCAAACGCTCACTTTACATATGGGGAAACTGACACACTGAGAGGGGGAGAGGTTTGCTCAAAGTCACCCAGAAATGCACGTCTCTCTCTCCCTTCCACCCTGCAAAGGACAGGCTGGGGGGTGGGGGGTAGATAACTGGCCGGCCTCCCACGCAAGTATTAAAACAGGTAAGTACTGCGATCCTTACACGGACAAGATTCTGAATCTAAATGTAACAACGGTTAAACGTGGTCATACACCAGGCACGCCGAATTCTGATAGAAAATAAGAATTGTAACACGTGCGGGGGGTGGGGGGTGCCTAGGGGTCGCTTTAAAATCTCAGCTCCCGCGAAGCTCCGCTTCTCCCAGACACTGTACAAACGTCCTGCGGGAAAGAGGAAACACTTACCCCCTCTACAGAACTGCTTCCGGGTAGATTTCAGCCGCGAACTGGAGAAAATCCAGGCAAATCTGCAAAACAAAGCGGTGGGCGGCCTCCGGGCGCCACCTGTTGGCCCTCCGGGAGCGTTGCAAGCACCGCCGTATTTCTGGGTAACGTTATTTGTTCCGCAGCAGCGCAGGGTCCCCGGTGGTTTGGCAGCTGTTGTTCGGTGTCATCTCTCCCTGGGGATTAATTTCGTTTCCTGACAGGGAGTTGGGCCAACCAGCATATTGTCGCAGATAGGAGCACGAATTCTGCAATCAGACCCCGTAACTTCCATTTCTGTCTCCTCAACTGTAGCTGTGCGGCTCCTACAGGTCACTTAACCCTTCTGGGCTTGAACTGCCTTCTCTAAACAGTGGGGACTACAAAACCTATGCCATGAGAACACCATGAGGAGTAAATGAGAGGATGTGTGAGAAGGGCTTCTGTGCTTCAAACAAATGTCAGCTTTTATTATCACCAATTTTTATTTACTCTCTCTCTTGGCCAATGGAATGAAAAGAGGTTGGGGGCTTTGTTTTGAATCTTCTTAGCGTCCAGCTCTGCAGATTTTGACAAAGGTAAACAGTTGTGTGACCACACCACAATCAAGATCTAGAATTCTATCATCCCATAAAATTCCCCCAAGTCTCCTAGTTATCAACTCGCCCCCTTACCCAGCCCCCGGCAACCACTGATGTGTTTTCTGTCCCTAGAGTTTTACCTTTTCCAGAATTTCTTGTAAAGGAAATGATACAATATATAGGCTTTGTGTCTGGCTTCTTTCACTTAGCCTAACGCTTTTAAGACGTATCCATGTTGTTCGTATCAGTTTATTCCTTTTCATTGCTGAGTAAGCTGCCCTTGTACTCGTGCCCTACAATTTGTCCATCCACTTGCCACTTGAGGGGCATTTGGGTTGTTTCCAGTTTGGGGAAAATACAAATAAGGTCACTATATCTATTCATGTACAAGCTCTCGTGTGAATATAGAGTCCAATTTCACTTGGGTAAATACGTAGGAGTGGGATCGCAGGGGTACATGGTAAGAGTACGTGTCACTTTATACAAAGCTGCCAAACTTTTTCACAGTGGCTTTTATTTTCTTATTTTAAAAATAATTTTAAATTATGAACATCTCTTCTTCTTACACATCAAGCTCCTTGTCCTAGGCGCTGGAACACAACAGTAACCAGAATCAAGTCCCTGCCCTCACCCAGGTTACGTGTTGGAGATGGAGACAGAAATAAACAAGGAGAGAATAAATAAGATTATTTTATTTTATTTTGGCCACACCACAAGGCATGCGGGATCTTAGTTCCCTGACCAGGGATCAAACCCATGTGCCCTGCAGTGGAAGCGCGGAGCCTTAATCACTGGACCTCCAGGGAAGTCCCAATAAGATCATCTTAGATAGTACAGAAGCTGTAAATAGAGTGACCTGCTAGAAAGTGGGGCAGGAGGAGAAGGCCCTTCAGAGGCAGGGTCTCGAGCTGAGACCTGAGGTTTTCCAGGCAGGGGGACAGTGCGTGCAAGGTGTAAGACCACACAGGCGACAGCTGGGTATGCCTGGTGACTGTGCTGAGAACCAGACTCATCATGTCACAGCAGCTGGGCTTCCGTGAGAGGGTGAAGCAGCCTTGCCAACTGGTAAGAAGCAGGGATTTTTTTTAAAACCATTTTTAAAAGTTGAAGTATAGTTAATTTACAATGTTGTGTTAGTTTCAGGTGTACCACAAAGTGATTCAGTTATACATATATACATATATTCTTTTTTCAGATTATTTTCCATTATAGGTTCCATTGAATATAGTTCCCTGTGCTATACAGTAGATCCTTGTTGTTTATCTATTTCATATATAGTACTGTGTACATGTTAACTCCAAACTCCTAATTTATCTCTGCCCCATCCCCTCTGGTAACCATAAATTTGTTTTGTATGTCTGTGAGTCTATTTCTGTTTTGTAAATATGTTTATTTCTATCATGTTTTTAGATTCCACATATAAGTGATATGATATTTGTCTTTCTCTGACTTCACTTAGTATGATAATCTCTAGGTCCATCCATGTTGCTGCAGATGGCATTATTTTGTTCTTTGTTACGGCTAATATTCCATTCCTTTATCCATTTATCTGTCAATGGACGTTTAGGTTGCTTCCATGTCTTGGCTATTGTAAATAGTGCTGCTATGAACATTGGGGTGCGTATACCTTTTTGAAGTAGAGTTTTTTCCCTATATATGCCCAGGCGTGGGATTGTTGGATCATATGATAACTTTATTTTTAGTTTCTTTAGGGAACCTCCATACTGGTCTCCATAGTGGCTGCACCAATTTACATTCCCGCCAACAGTGTAGGAGAGGTCCTTTTTCTCCACACCATCTCCGGCATTTACTACTTGTAGACACTTTAATGATGGCCATTCTGACTGGTGTGAGGTGATACCTCATTGTAGTTTTAATTTGCATTTCTCTAATAATTAGAGATGTTGAGCATCTTTTCCTGTGCCTGTTGACCATCTGTATGTATGTAGAAGGAAGGATTTTATTCCAAACATATTTGGAAACTATAGGATTTTAACCTGGGGATTATTATGGTGTAATTTACATTTCAAAAAGATGATTAGGTAGGAAAAGAGAAGACCCGCTGGGATTGTAGTTAGTAGACCAGAGATTGAGAACAGCATTTGAATTTGTTTGGGCTTTATTATGGAGATGGACCCAAGAGGACCGGTCCACAGTTTGGATGTGGGGAGGAAGGGAGAGGGGAAGAATCCCAGGTGTATGGGGATGTCTTTCAGAGGATGACTAGTTTGGAGTTTAACCTTAATGACCTCTGTTAAAGTCTCCCCCAAACCTTACAGGTTAGGCTTCTAGGCCTTAGTTTGTCGTCAGTAAAACAGGTTGTGAAAATTGGACAACTAAAAGCAAAACAATTACTTTTTTTTTTTTTAACAATTACTATTTTAAAGCTAATTTCACTCCCACAAAAAACCCTACGGGGCGGGTACTTTTAAGTTCTTTCACCGGCTGAGAGGTGGAGGGACTTGCCCAAGGCAGAGGTATGATGGGTGAGAAGAATGAATGAAAGAGTAAACATCTGAGTGAACCGACCTAAGGAACCCCGCCCGCTCTAAAGACCTTTCTGAGCCCCACTTCGCCTCAGGGACCTTGCCCAGCGGCCCCTCCCACACATGCGCACTAGGACCTCCGCTGCCCCCTCGCCCACCCCCCCACCCCCGGTCGGAGCATGCGCGGGTTGCTTGGCGCCAATTGTTGACCGCCGCGGCTAGCGCCAAGCTCGCGGGTCCCCTGGCAGCGCGCGTTCGCTCCCTCCTCGGCTCCAGGATGATTGGCCAGAAGACCCTCTACTCCTTCTTCTCCCCGAGCCCCGCCAGGAAGCGACGTGCCTGCAGCTCCGAGCCGGCCGAGCAGTGGAACGGAGTGGCGGCGGTAGCTGAGAGCGGGGATGCGGCGGTAAGGCGCGGCGGGGACCGCTCGTGGGGCCGGGGGTCAGGGGGAAGGGAGGGTGAGGAGGGCGAAGAGGGCGAAGAGGGCGAGGAGGGCGGCGGACCCCGCGCGACCGAGGGGTTGCAGGAACATGGGGCTGACTGGGTAAACTGGGGCCTCCACGTGTTCAAAACAGCCGCCGTGGCGCCTCATCGGCGGCCATGCTGAGGGGTCAGCCAATGGAGGCGAACCTTGGGGCCGACGGCGCCAATCAGAGGCGAGGGGCCCGGCCCACCCTCCAATCAGAGGAGGGAGGGGGTGGGTCCTGGAGGGGAGGGTTTTTGCCGCGAAAAGACCACGTGGGGACGCTAGTGGCGGGACCCGCGGGGCGGGGCCCTGGGTGCTGGGCCCCTTCTCCGCGAACCCCTAGCGAGGCGCTGCGGGCCTTGCTCACAGACCTTTTTCCTGCCCTGTTTTGGTACCAAACTCGAAATTTGGGGCAGCGGCCTGTTAGTGCCGGACTGGGATCAGCCCTGGGTTTCCAGAGTCCGGTTTTGTACGTACCTGCCGAGCGGGGCTGAAACCCCAAGAATGGGTGTCCTCTACCCTGGGCTGTTGGGTTGGGGACGGAAGCTGCGGGCTCCCGGGAGAGGTCCGCTGCAGCTCGTGACCCGTTTCTGCGGGGACCACTTTCAGGCCAGCTCCGCCAAGAAGATCCGGGCCGGGCAGGAGGAGCCCGGCACGCCGCCCTCGTCGCCACTGAGCCCCGAGCAGTTGGTGCGCATCCAGAAGAACAAAGCCGCCGCACTGCTCAGACTCGCAGCGCGCAATGTGCCTGTAGGTTTTGGTGAGAGTTGGAAGAAGCACCTCAGCGGGGAGTTCGGGAAACCATATTTTATTAAGGTAAAGTTGGAGACTGCGGGCACTTGTAAATATAGCAGGCCAAGCCCACGTTTATAGGATATTGCTTTCGTGAGCTCCTACTTTCTGTCCTTCAACATACAGCCATGATGTTTTGAATATGCCCAGTTTAAGATTTTTAAAAGACTATGAGGTGATATCATAGCTTCTTTTTTTTTTTTTTTTGCGGTACGCGGGCCTCTCACTGCTGTGGCCTCTCCCGTTGCGGAGCACAGGCTCCGGACGCGCAGGCTCAGCGGCCATGGCTCACGGGCCCTGCCGCTCCGCGGCATGTGGGATCTTCCAGGATCGGGGCACGAACCCGTGTCCCCTGCATTGGCAGGCGGCCTCTCAACCACTGCGCCCCCAGGGAAGCCCTCATAGCTTCTTTCAACCCATTTGTTTAGTCTGCTCCCAAGGAAAGAGTGGCCTGGTAAAACCACAAACCCGACTGAATGAAACCTGCCCTTTAAACAAAAGAGGGAGGGGTTGGCACCCGCAGGAAATCAAGGCTGTCAGGCCAATCAACTTTGACGCAGCCCAAAGAAAGGAATTAAAATGTCGGGAGGGGAACTGTTTTGATTTTTACGCAGAATTTGGATATAAAACTTGGCAAAGAGCT